CCGGCTCTTCGATGAGCCATATATGGCCTGACAATGTACCAAAGAGGAAATCTAATAACACGTAGTTTCGAAAAGTTGTAATGATCTCTCCTCGAGGGGAGGAGATAGAGAGGTGATTCATCAGAATGAAAAATTGATGGTGAACTTACATGAGAATCGTTTAATTAACAGAATATTTAATCAGTTAACACGGGGAATTAATGAGGAGCGGTGCATGAGAACATGAGAATTTTGAGATAAGGGGGAGAACCATGAAAGAGACCGAATTCGACTGTCTCTACTGTGGAATTGAGGCACAATTCATTTATTGCCATGCTGAAATGTAGTTATCAATTGGAATGTATTATAAGTTTATTGGCCGTCTTTTCCAAATTCGACTCTTTTTGGAGGATTTCTTTTATAAATAATAATTATTACAATGAAAATCAACGTTGAAAAATGTTTTTAGCAAAAAATAATGGCTCAACATGAGGCCCAAAAAATGATGCTTTAAGAATTGGGCCCAGAATAAGTCCCCGCTAAATGGTGCTTGAAGAATCAGGCCCATAAAATCAGACCCAAAAATGATACTTTAAGAATCATTACAAATAATACTTTGAGCATTGTGCACAAAATAAGGCCCGAAAAATTACCTTTCACGCATCACGCGTAAAATAAGGCCCAAAATGAGACCCAAAAAATAACGATTTAAGGCTCGGGCCTAAAATGAACCCCCCTCCAAATGATAATGGAAGAAACAGGCCCTAAACTTGAGACTAAAATGAGACATTGACAATAAGGCCCAAAACTGAGTCTTTAAGAATCAAGCATAAAATGAGGCCCGACAATGGCCCAAAATGGGACCCGAAAATTATGCTTCAATTAGTCAGCGGTCAGTCCTAAACATGGAGCCTAAATTTTTTTGCACGTGTCAAAAGGCCCAGAGCGCGTAAGGCCCAAGTTTTTGGGCCGCGGAAAATCTCGCTTCGGATAAAAAAAACCTCGAAACACGGAATTACCCGGTACAATATTCACCAATTTGTGATGCAACACAAGACGTTAAAACTGCAAAAAATCACGTGACGTCCAAGACTTTCTTCTTTCCCAACGAAATCCCCCGGTAAAATTAAAAAATTCCTCATAACAACTCATTACCTCATCCCCACAAAAACAACCCCCCTGCAACGCCAGTTTTCACAGGCTCGTGCCTCAGTAATTGCCCCGCAATTAGTAATTAGAATGTACGAGTGATGGGTTAAAGAAGTGGCGGAACTGTCATACGTGATTTAAACCGCAATTTGCAAATTACAATGTCGTAGGTATTAAAATTCACCAGACCCCACCTAGCAGGTAAACAAGATAGTCCCTCTCTCCTCTCACGCACATGAGCGTTAATGGTTGATGATATGAGGGGCATAATGCAGACGACGCTTGGACACCTGTGTTGTTGCCCCGAGGCGCCACAAACAACAGGCCCACTTTTCCAAGTGGGTCTTATAGACCCCCCTCCCCCCTCTACCCCTCCCCCTGCATACATACGGCCCAATGTCTTGCTACCAAACCCGTTGGCGATAGTAACGAAACAACTCGCACGCATCACATACACAGGTTTAAGGCAGGAGGTTTTATATGCATGCTCGACTGACTCAGGTATATGCTGACTATCACACTTTCCATTTCGTTTTCAGCACTCAGTACCGCAGTTCGTCGATGTGTTACGCTCCTTGAGATTTGACCGGAAGCACAAGATGGTGTTAAAAAGGAATGGAGATGATGGAAGAAAGGGATTGGGAAAATATGAAAGTCTTCTTAAATGCCGAAAATGGAATAGCTTAACGTGGTTGCGGAATGAAGTATTGTTCAGCAAGTAATGGAAGTTTCTTGTGAAGAGTAGTTCAATTAATGGTATCTTTAACTTCATCGTAAGTTGAGTTCGGTTGGCTTGAGTTGTTCATAATTCCATCGTCGAGAAAGGTTCCCGTTTTGAGAAGAAGCTGTGATCTTTTGTAGGCTTCAAGGACGGTTGTGCTAGCTTCTCAATAAGAATTGACTTGACATTCCTTCTTCGTAGGTGGTCACTTCGAAATTATAATGTCACTAATGATTGTAGAAAGGAGTGTGACCAATATTTTGACGGGATCATATTGGTTAAGATGTTTGATAGGAATCTTTGTGGAGATTCCAATCTTAGATCCCAATCTTTTTCTAATCTCGTCAGTCTACCCTGAAACTTGATAATCTTAAGTTGTTTATAAAGTCACTTTAATAACCAAGATCATCGATTTGGAGTTTCGAAGGGAACTGATACCACTCAAGCACACCTGAAGTTCGTGTTCCGCTTCAAGAACGGGTGTCCTAATATCTTAATAAGAATTAGGCTCAACATGTTCCCTTTGTTTGGAGTTATTTGAGAGATCAGCAGGGGGTCATTTCAAAATCTCCAAGTGTAAACTGATCGACGAGACGTGAATGTCTTCCTGAATGCCGAAAAGACCTCAAGGACAGTCTTCCCGAAAAAGGTGTTGGTGTCAAGTAATACAAGCTTATACCGAGCATTTTTATTGATATTTAGACTAGATCATTCTCGACACAAGAACAAAGCAATCCTTCTCAAAATGAGAAGATTGTACTCAAGTTCGTCATTCGTTTCCTCCTCAACTGCCTCATTCGGCCCTCAAAATTAATTCTCAACTCATTCATAACGTCACTTCCACTACCCACCATCGCTTCCAGTCTTCAAATGACCTAATCCAAGCAAGCCTGGCATCTGTGTTCCCCTTCAAGAACGGCTTCCCAAACTCCTCCACAACAATTAACCTCAGCATGTTCCTTTGTCCGCAGCCATTCTAAAGATCTGCAGGTGGTCATTTCGAAATCTCCAACTACTCCAACTGAGTATAAATCAACAATAGCTTCATTTACGATGATTCACGATGATTGAAACCGATCCTCCCGAAACCTCTGGCCCCTCTCCAGCTCCATTCACCACCAGCGAGCCAACATCTCCCACAAATGACCAGTGTCACGTGGGCCCAGTGGGTGCCAAAATTTCGCAATGGTTTTCGGGCTTGATCCCAGAGAATTACAGTGTTATTCAAGCTACCAATATATGGAATGCGATATTACGCAATTTCTCCACTCTTAAATCCACCTTCACGTTTCTCCCAGTTCTCTTGTTCCCATCAGTGTGTATGTTTGGCCGTGTGTTACAAGGCATAATACATTGAACAACCACCTACAGCCCATATACATTACTCGAGATGTGTCTTAAAGATAATCAACAATTTTTTTTCCTCCTCAGCTCAATCCTTTTTGTGCATCAAGCTTAAGCCAAAGTAGTCGAGTATCATCATGCTGTTGCATTTGAGGTGCAGAAAATTATATTGACGCACCAACACATTGAATAACATCTGCTATCCAAGGATTTTAATGATTATTTATGGATGTGGGACATAAATGGTGGGTAGACTCGTTATGTGGTACCACGCAAGAAGATCGTGTTAATTGTGGACCCATTTCGAAAGTCAACCCCAGTTGTCCTCGTTTGCTCCTCATGTAATTCTCCATTTTTTTCTCTCTCTCCCATTTTCCCCATCACGATGATATTCGTCATGTTACAGATGTCATCATCATCAAGTATTTACATAGACAAATGGACCGGTGCGTCTTCCATTAAAGGCGACAGTGAAAATTTCATTCTTTTGAAGAATCCAATTGCAAAACTCGTCAAGTAATCATATATGGAGAGGACTTGTCCACCGCATTGCGTTTCAGAAAGACGGGTTTTATCCACTCGAAAAAGCCAAAATTGACGAGAGATAAAAATAAAGTATCAGGTGCACTCGAAATTTCGTAATTCACTTAATTCGTAACTCAAGAACAACTTTCGCAATAGCAACTTTTTCTTGCTTTTATTATCCTTTCAACGGTGAAGTAGAATTACACTTGTATTAAGAGTTGAATAGTTTTCCTTTTTTTTTCGTATCTATTCCGCTAATTTTTCAATGTTTGCGCAGAGTGCAAACACGCCCATGCATCGAGGTCGACTATTAAATTATTATAACTCCCATTTGCCCTCCCTTGAATGAAACTGGCACACGAATGCCATTGGTGTGAACTTTCAGAACGAAAGGATTGTGAATTTTGTTGTATCAAGTTTTATGTGTGTAGGTCATAATATAATACGTACACGATTACTGGTGAGTTCGGTGTGGAGGCTTTTAAAATCGCATACCTTTTATCTCTATATAAATCAAAAACCTGCTTCCCATTCGTGATTGGGAATTTATGTGAGACCAGACAATTATGTTTCCGAAAGTCCCCCAAACATTTTCCCATTGTACCAAAAGTGAATGATCACAGAAACAAATATCCGGCCACTGCATACTTTCCCAGATTGTTTGCCCTCCCAATTTGTCTCGATTGGACAGTTTCATCTGACACTTGATTATCCCCCCAAGACCACAAAGTGCTGATAATTTGACCGTAGGTAGTTGTTGATGAATGGAAACAAGAGAAAAAAAAAGTAATAAAATAGAAATGAGAAAGAGTGGTGAGATCATCTAGGAAGCTAGAACAAGTTTTCTCTCAATCTCCCGTCAACTTATCCCCTTTAGGCAAATTCGCACGAGAGAAGCTTTCAGCGTGGGCGCCACCATTGCTATCATGGAGGTGTACAGAATACACCCCAAGGCGGTTTTATCCAAGTTTAACCAGAGCCTCGCCCAGACAAAACCACAGAGACAAAACCAGAATGATGATAGCTGAGTTTACGGAGAGGGAGCGAGAGAACGGGGAAGGGGCTGTGTTTACAGTTAGCAAGATGACGTAATCGGCAAAATGATACCACAGAAGGCACTTCACTAGGACATGGCAAAGGACAAGCTACCGAAAAGTGGTATTCAAATGAGGGCCCAGTCAGGAGTGAGTGTCTTGACCCGAAAAGAAAGAAATTATGAGCCTCACAATTTTCGGTAGATTGAGAAAGTGATAAAGACAATATTTAAGAATGATCCTCTTACCTGCTCGATGTCGTAGTCAAGATCTCTGGCACTTTTGGCACTTCTGAGTCGATCGCCTCGATACTCCTTGTACCTCTGAGTGACCTCATCATCGGTGAGAGCACCGGTTCCACCGCTGCTACTACCATCGGCATCACCAGGACGTCTCTTCCCCTTGCTCTTCTCCTCCTTAGCTTTTTTCTCCTTTTTCCCAAAGAGCTGTCGCACTTTACTCATCGTACCACTCTTCTTCGTCACCTTTTTCTCGTACTTCTTGTCGTTGACCCCTGACGGAGGCTTCGATGTCACCTTGCTGTTGGACGTGTACTTGTCATACCTGCGTTTCTCCAACGGCGTCAAGTTCATGTTTCGATCTGTATGCTTTCGTTCATGCTTGATGAACTGAAGTGTAACGAAGCCCTCGTCCTCCGACTCCAAAGGCTCCCGACGATCCGCTTCATGAGAGTCCCTTCGGTAGTCGTTCTCGATACCCGAGTCAGCAAGGCGATCCTTCCTGTCAGGGTCTGTTAGCCCCGTCTCTCTGTGCCTAGCTTCGTGTCTCTCTCTTCTGACTTTGCTCTCGTGAAATACCCGAGGTGTCATCTCTGGGCTCTCGTCGAATGTCTCCAGACGTGTCTGGTGGAGCCTCGTCTTCCCACCCCTTGGGCTCTCTCTGGCTGACTCCGAGTCGTCCAAGTAATCTATCCGATTTCTCGATCCTCGCAGTGGAACGGAGCGCTCTTCCGGGATCTTGCGGTGCTCTTTCCGAACACTTCTGGACGTTTCCTCAGTGCGATAACGCACCTCACGACGATGCACAGATTCCCGGCCTCCAGTCGCGTCTGAATCGTATCTACTCGAGTTGTAACCGCGCTCCGAGTCATTCCGCATGCGAGACGGCGGCGAGCCATCATAACTTCCGTTGTATCTCTTTCTTATCTGAGCTGTACGACGATTCTCCTCGTCGTAGTAGCCATTTGTCTCCAAGTGGCTGTTGGTCATCTGGGATATGTCAGTATCGTAATCATCATTGTGTCTACCATCGCGCAAGTCGTTTCGATAAGATGGCCGGCCATTCGCGCAACGAAAGTCACGTGTGTTCACGTAGTCACTGTCCAAACGAAGATTCTCGTGCGATCTTGTTATGTACTCGGACCTCGGGAGGCTCTTCTCGAGGACCTCGTCCAACCGTTGACTCGACTTGCTAATACCCCGGACTGTCTCCAGATTCTTCCGCATCTTGGGAACGTACAGATCACGCCTACGGGAGACATTACGAGGCTCGCGGTCCAGGAAATCTTCGCTTTTCGAGAATTCACGGTTCTCCACGAATCTGTTGACAGTCACCGGTGCTTTGACGTAGGATATCTTGTTGCCGAGGGTCTCGAAGCGCTCCTCAGGGCTCGTTCGACTCTTGTCACTCATGAAGGGCTTAAACTCACCCTCGTTGTAGTCATCGTGCAACTTCGTTTCGATAATGTACTTGTCACCATGCTTGTCCGTTCTCGTTTCTACTTTGTAGCCATTTCCGCGGACTGATTTGGGTTCCGTGTAGTTCGGCGGGATCTTGTTGGTGATCTTCTTCTCAAAGCCAAATACCTTACCATTGTCCTCCCTCAGCTCCTTCTCGAAGATGTACTTCTCACCATTGCTATTGGTCCTCGTCTCCGAGATGTATGTCTCAGAGTAGCGTTTCGGTGAGGAGACCCGATCAGGTGTAACAGGAGAAGGAACAATAGGCTTGTCGATTATCTCGTGCTCGGTCTTCCTGAATATTCCATTGCTCTTTCCCGCGAACGAATCCTCATTCAATAATCTAGACTTCATTCTCGATTCCAGAAGATCCCTTCGAGCACTCAGCTCACTGGTTTTACTCGTTATCCCCCCGATATTTCGATTCGTATCCTCCTGAACAAATATTTTCGAGGTATATCTGTCAGGCTTGTCATAACGATTATCAAAGCCATTGATCTCATTGTTCCTGCGTGACTCGTTGTAGAAAGCATTGTACCCAGAGACCCCTCGATAGTCCTTCTCAGCTGGGCTATTCTCTCTCGATGAGTCTTTACGATCCAATCCAAGTCCCTCATCACTGTCCGAGTGACTCCTCTGCGCTCTCTTTTTATCGGAAATCGTGATGCTCGTCTGAACAGGCGGCTGTGTTATATCATCATTGGGTCTTGTATAAGAGAAAGGTCGATTATTATTGTGGCCAAAACCAGGACCAGGTGTCACCATCGTGCTGGTCAAACGTGGTGGTGGTGAACGATCATTTGACAATCTGTGTATCATTTTACGTATGGTTGAACCTGTATCACGACTGTCGTATCTGCTACTGTGAGGCATGTCCTTAGCCTCGTCAACCTCGTCCCTCTCAACTTCAGTTTCAATCGTAACAATGTGCTCACGTGGCTTCACAACACCGGTAAAATCAAAGGGCTTGTCAATCTGGGGTGACACCTCAATTATCGGTGACAACTGCTTCTTAATCCTCGATGATGGAGTTGGTGATGATGTATCACACGTCTCGTTATCACTACCACTTCTCTTGCGCCTTATCTTTTCACCATCAGACGTACCAACGTCACTGACACTTCTCTTAACAGTTACATTACGTTTGCGCTCCAACTTGGGTGAGAATAGCTTAGCCAGTGGGCTCTTGTATTTCTGAGCGCTGGCATCGCTCACACTCCTGTCTAATTTCTTCTTGCGCTTTGTTGTTGGTGATTCACTGATTATCTCACTGGTACGCTGATCGTTGGGTGATAAATCACTGCGTTTCTTGGTACCACGTCGCACTGGTAATGTATTGAATTTACCTGGTAATCGTCTATTGTCACGTGCTACACAGTTTAGACTTCCTACTTGGTGGAGAACAAGGGCTGCTTCTTGGGCGAGGTCCTCTTTGCTTCTAGCTCCGATGCTCTCTTTGTGAACTGGTGTGGGCATCAACCTGCCTTCACCATCACCAGCTAGGGCTGATGTCACACGCGGCACTCCACGGCCTGAAAGCAATTCGAAATCGTTAAGCAATTGCGCAATTATCGGTGGATTTAATTGAACCTTTTAGGATTCATTTATGCCGTGGAATCAATAAAGGCAATTAAGCCGTGCAATTTTTTTCTTTTCGTTTGGTCGTGAAGGCAGGAAACGGTAGCAGCAGGTAGCTTACAGCAATTAGCACTGATAGCAGGTCTAGTTGAATTTATAATGACGTTATTTTTCCACTGGAATAACCGTGCACTTATTCGCAAATGAAATGTTTCAAAAGGGGGGTAGGGAATGTGGGGAAAGCGTGACCTTTCGCGCGAGACAAGAAACGGATAGTAAACGGCCGGTTTCTGACCTCGATCGATACATCGACTCGGGAGTTTATTCTGAATGGGAGAAGTCAGGGGTCTCGGTAACTTGCGGAAGTGCTTTTTCGGTTGATTGGAAAATTGTTAATGAAATGGCGAGGGAGATAATTTGTTGACGAGTGAAAACGGGGGGAGAAGTGACGGATTTATGGTAGCTAGGCGGGTCGGGATGTCTGCGAGGTGGATCTAGGGTCATCGGAGGGACCTTCGAGATTGCAGACGATCGAACGTGTGTTGCTAATCTCTTCCTATTTCAGGGGAAAAATTGCTGTTGCTTGGGGTCTGGTGATTATTGGAAGTGAATGGAATTCGAGATGATTGAACATAGCGGTTGGGGGATAATTATTGAATAAATTTCGAGGGGAGATGGAGAGATTGATATCACCTGTGCGGAGGAATTTTTAGAGCACGTGCCAATAAATATCTCTATCCAATCATTCGGGTTTTTTTTAGTAGATCGGTTTTTACTGCGTGTCCTTGGGTGGATAACGTGCAATTGCTCAACGTCATTGGAATGCAACCGGTGACAAGTGGTTGCACGCCGAAGGGAGGGTGGGGTTAGAGATATTCATCCTCGGTATGATTTTTTGAGTGAAACATTATTTTTGCAAATGGGGGAATAGTGGAAGATGTAATGAGCCTAACCTCCACTATCCGATTTACTGACGATGAAAGAAATGTGAAGTGGTTTTATATCGAATTATCTCGAAACTGCTTGACAGCTAATCCTCAATTCTGATTGGTCAATAAGTCGCGTGAAGTAGTCGCTGAAAAAAATCCCCGGTATTTTCAAATTCTTCAAAAGCCAAAATTTTTTTTTGCGTCATATTTTTCATTTTTTCATGTGTGAAGTTTATCTTTATATCAAAACATATCTAATTGGCTAATTGTTGATCATGAGAAAAAAAACATAGTATTTCTAAATTTTTTTAACGCACAAATTATACTTCAATTCCCAAATTTTAATTTTTTCATATTTATCATACGCAAAAATGATCAATTCGTGCTTCTCACGGAAATGAATTCATAACGCCCCCTCATTTTTCAACAATTACAGATTTTAATCAGATTATTTTAAAGAGTAAAAAAAAAGAATTAATCGAAGATTAAAAATTATTCATTGATGTTTCACTCTTCAATCTCTTAATTCTCTTCAAATCATTATCAATATTTATAAAATACCTAATAAATTCGATTTTTTCTAAGTCTATTATTAAAAAGTCTAATGAATGAAAGTCTAGTGAATAGATAAGCGCGCGCACAGGTCTAGTTTGATAATGCAGGTGAGTGGAGATGAGAAATTACTTGTCTCGAATGAGTTTCAGACATTAGAATTTTTTTTCCGCATTCTGAGATGACTATTTTCTTCCCGACTTTTTTAATGTTCACTAACCCCCGTGGGTTTTCCACACCCGGCCAATCCATCCCGGGCTAATCCCCCCGGTGATCGTAAAGACCCCTAACGAGCGGACATACTTCATCGGACAAGTTATTTCGCACTGCAGAGGAATTACGTGGAAATTAATAATAATCCCTTCTCGTCGGGATGGGAGAAATGCCGGGGATATTCTCAACGCTTAAGCCCGGTTTCTATGAAGCAATCAGCTGACAATTGGTGTGTTCTATTTTTGTGAAATATTTGTAGCTCCGGGTGCGGTATTTTTATTATCACTTTCGTTCTTTTATTTGCATGAAAGTAAAAGGCAAGGGATTGGTGTCAAAACGAGGCCTAGGCCTCTCAAGGACTGGGATATTTACGAGGTTTGGATCGGGAAAGGGAGCGGATTGTATTAATGATGACTATAATAAATGGAAGTGGCCGGGGTTCGCTGTTTCAGGTGGTTGGAGATCTTGATCGAGGTGAGAAGTTCGGAACACTAAAAAAAATATACCTGAATTGAGTATAAAATTTAATTAAAAACTAAAAAATTCTCTCTGAATTCCCCGTGCCAAATACCGAAATTTTTTATCGTGTTGCAATTGTACCAAAAATTTCAGGAAATCTCGTTAGTGAAAATTCAGAATTTCGTGGAAAAATCAAATAGAACTGTAAATTTCCGTTCCATTTTGCCTTAAAATAAATAGAAAACCAGAAAATTTTGTTAAATATATTAGTGAATTTTCAGGATTTAGGGGGAAAAAATTATGAAATTTCAGATTTCACTGAAAATTCAATCCAATTTGACACTGAATATTCAGATTAGATTGGAAATTCAAATAAATTCAGGAATTGTCGTCTTTATGCCCCTTAAAATTCTGGAATTTTACTGAATTTTCAGTGAAACCTGAAATTTGATGATTTTGGTAGTCAACTGTCCAATTTTTTTTTCTAACAGTCTACTCGATTCGAAATTCTACGACTCCATTCTCTCACTTCATCACTTCATCTCGCGATGAGTATCCAACCCTAACATTAAATAAAACTACTATTAATCCGCTACTGAAACGTTATTCATTTCGCATCTGAAACTAAATAAATCCTCTGCAAAGGGAATATTCCTCAAATCACGAATGCATTGCATACAGCATGCGAAAGTCACTTTTCCTCTCCATTAGCAGTCAAATAACGCTTCTTTCACAGCGCATGAAAGAGAGTTCAGGTGATAATGGGACAAGAAAACGCGAGAAATGTTGACACTGACCTCTCCGAAATTGTATAAATTTGCAATAAATATTAGCACCACATCAGCAGGTGGAAAACCACTCGTGTCATTCTTATTTTGTGACAAAACGTCTGGCAATTACATCATCCGCATTGCGTAATGATAGACCAGACTCACACGAATGCAGCGTTAAAGTCACCTTGCGGTTTTACCCGAGTAAATGAGAAAAACATCGCAGGTGACTAGAGCCAGACACTCGACAAAAAAAAATCCTGACAATTGAATCAAATTAAATTGCCGTCGATTGAATTAATTATTAATAATTTTATTGGGATTTGTTACGTCACAGAATGCCGCTGAGTCTTCCACGCAAGCACATCCAATCCCCTAGTACGAGCCCCACACAATCAGCATGACTGTTCTGGTTATTGAATTAGAGAAAGTTATCAATGATCTCCTTAATTTTCCTTTTTTTTATCGTTTTCAATCTCATTCTCATTAAAGTAAAGTGAGTTATTAATGAGGAGGTTTGCATTGAGTGGAGCTAGTAGTGAAAGAGGCTGCCTGAAGATAATTATATTTTTTTAACAATGTTAGTGCGAATTTAGTAATTTTTTTAGAAGAATTTCTCTGATCATTCGATTTAGTACGGTTATTCGGCGAATATCTTCGCAAACACTGGGTCTATCGAAAAATATCACAAGAAATTTTTTGTAGGAAATTCAATTTTCTACAAAAAATGTCTAATGTCATTTTTTGTCAGAACCCCTCATTAATGAGATAACTCAACAATTGGAAAAATTGATTTGAAAGATTTTGTGCCGAGTTTTTTGCGAATGTCTGCGAAACTGTTGGGTTTAGCGAAAAATGTCAAAAAATATTTTTTGTAGATAATTGAATTCCCCATAAAAAAATATAGTGAAATTTTTTGCTAAACCCAGCCGTTCTCGAGATATTTTCAAAAAACCTCAAAAGATTTCTTTCATTATCTTTTTTTCAACGGTGGAATTATCCGTTTTTGAGAATTTTCACATTGAAAGAGGGAAATTCTCGGAAATTATTAGAAAATTTGTAATTTTCAAGACGATTAATCAAGCAGCCTCACGACATCAGGGATAAAATCACAACGTGGTTCGAAAAACGATTGTGATTGCGTGAAATTAAGACTCACCGATCCTCTTGACGTGGACGTCTCGATTGAAGGAGACGCTTCTCTCAGCGGGCTTCAGCCCGGTTGAGGTACCCGAGGTATCCCCAAAATTAGCGGTATCAACAATATTGGGGCCACAATCTCCCACACCAGTGCCAGTCGAATCCAGTTCGACCATGATAAATGACTAAATTCACTTCATTCTAGCATCAACAATACATTATCAACTCCCTTTCCTCGGAAATTCACCTGCAAGCCAAGCAAAAAGCTCCGCCTCATCATCATTTTTCATAATAAAGATCCGACGATTTTCTTTTCAGCGCAATGAAAAATAATGAGGTGAGGTTAATGCACATGAAGATTACGCGGGTCTCTGAATGTCATGCAGAACCACCAGTTTTTCTTCGTTATTTTCGGGGGAAATAATGAGGCGAACGAGTGGTCAAGGTTGGGTTAATTGATGGAGATGATGCCTATCTAACCTGTGACATAAATCCTGTCAATCGGAGTTGAGTAAACGATTTGATTGCATTAGTGGTTACCGTTTCATTGGCGATCATTAAAATTCCTTGTCGAACTAGCTGAAAACTTGAATAAAATTATCTATTCGTTGAAAACACGATAACAGGGCTTTGACAACCGAAGAAGGAGAGACGTTTTCACTTGAAAAGATCTTCGTGCGGCGACATACATTCGGGCGAAATCAGTCGTCTCGGTATTAGATTAAACATATTGCCAATGAATATTAGCGGCGAATACTCATCGCTGGAGGCTGAGAATACCTACGAGGTCACAATGACCCCCCCTCCCCCTTTAACAAACATTGAATCCAGATGCAGTAGAGGCTTCGTATAAGATACCTCGCGCTCCGAGCGCTCGAGGCTTACCCCCACTCCCGGCACTTTTATCGGCTCCCGAGTGTTTATGTTCCGTGGGCTTCTTATAAGATACCTACGGCCCCGGTCATTTTTCAACGGGAAGAGAGTATTTATAAGGATACGGTGTTGAGGGTCAAACGGAAGGGACAAACGAAGTGATCATGAGGGTCTAATGACCTTAAGGGGGGGTCACACCACTTTTTTCAAGTAATGGAAATATACATCGATTTTTTTTTCACATTTCCCATCGAAAAATCGTAATTTTTCGTCTGTGATTATTCTCGACTCCACCAACAATCCCCCAACATCAGCTGCCAGTCTATCACGCGAAGNCTCCACCAACAATCCCCCAACATCCGCTGCCAGTCTATCACGCGAAGTTATGTTTAGAGAGAAAAGGGAACACGTCCGATCCAAATTCAAAACATTAAACACATAAATTGACTAGTTATCGATATTCATTCAGTAAAAATGTAAATTTCATTGAATTCCGGCGCAACGAGCGAGGTATCTTATTTGAAACCCGCTGATCCCTATTTTTCTCCTCTCTATGGGCGCGCGTAGTGGGGGCACAGGGGTTCCCGGAATTCCCCTCTCCTACTGTCCCTGAGGTATCTTATACGAAGCCTCTACTGTATTAAATCCCCCCCGCATCAAACCTCGCAACCATTTCCTCCAACCTCAAGCTCCCCCTCAACCCCCACAACCTTCCGAAAACCCTGACAAAAATTTATGAGGCGCCGTGCGTCGTCCGTCCAGCCTTAACGAGGTGAAGAAACACGAAACACCAAGCCCCCCCCCCCTCTCGCCGACCCATTATTTATTTTTCCCCTCGACTCTTTGTGGCAACTCCTCGCAGAAATAAAAATTAAAATGCGAGAAACGTTTTTCCCCCGCCGCGGCCGACCTCACGGGGTCACGCCCTTGAAGACAAAACGGGGTTGACCTGGGCGACATCTCGCAAGGTGATCGAGGAAGAAGAATGAGAGGAGAGAGAGGACAATAATAATAATAATAAAGCGTACGAAAAGCCACACACGATAGAGGCGCGCGCGTGCCTCAACTCCCTCGTTATTCAACCGCTTTATTAAACCCTTACCCCCCCCCCCCCCCCCC